TGTGTGTTAGTCTGTGAACTAAAACACACCTACACTCGGGTGTTTCCGCCGAGCCAATCAGGCGAGAGGTGGGCGGAGCTTGTTACCGAACTCGGCAGTGACGCGCGAGGTGGGCGGAGCTTGCTGCCGAACTCGTAAGCATTTGGCTCCATTGCCATCAAAAGGGTATTTGGGACGTGAAGCTATACAGCTTATGGTTTACAAATATTTTCTAGTTAAAACTATCTCTCCAGTGTGTATCGGTATAATAAAACGGTTAAAGTATGGGGTTGAGGCATATATAGCAAGTTTCTGGTGTCCCTTGACCATGCCTATTTCCCTCGGCTTCGCCTCGGGAAATAGACCTGGTCTCGGAACACCAGAAACTTGCTATATCCATCAACCCCATACTCTAACTGTATACTAACACATTTACTAATAACACTACTATAATACTACTAACACATTTACTCATAACACTACTATAATACTACTAACACATTTACTAATAACACTACTATTATACTACGTACACATTTACTAATAACACTATTATAATACTACTAACACACTTAATAATAACACTACTATAATACTACTAACACACTTAATAATAACACTACTATATTACTACTTACACTTAGTTAAAAACACTACTATAATACTACATACACATTTACTAATAACAATACTATAATACTACTAACACGTTTACTAATAACACTACTATAATACTACTAACACATTTGCTAATAACACTACTATAATACTACTCACACATTTACTAATAACACTATTATAATACTACTAACACGTTTACTAATAACAATACTATAATACTACTCACACATTTACTTATAACACTATTATAATACTACTAACACGTTTACTAATAACACTACTATAATACTACTCACACATTTACTAATAACACTTACTATAATACTACTCACACATTTACTAATAACACTACTATAATACTACTTACACATTTAGTAATAACACTTACTATAATACTACTCACACATTTACTAATAACACTACTATAATACTACTTACATATTTACTAATAACACTGCTATAATACTACTGATACATTCACTTATATTTACATTTCTACTGAACTTTGACTCAATATTCCTACTTAACATTTTAAAGGTTATTTTTCAATGAACTTTCCATTTGGCGTATGAATACATCAGCATATTGTCGATATGGATTACCTCCACTTTGCTTGAAGAACTACTTTTTCAAGTCTCATCACACTGTGAATGTTTTAAACACTTTTATTTCATTAAATGTAAAGATTATACAACAAAATTAAATAATATTTTGAAAAAAATAGAAACACTTTGTACCCCAATAAAATAATAACAACATGAAAATTGAATCTCGTTCGAGTGAATGTTTCACTCTAGTCGTCTGCTTTATCGTGGTCAATTCAGAAGCATTTACGGAAACACCAAATGTAACACCAAACATCACTTGGTCGGACTCTGACAATGAATGATGAACATTGTGTTGCCAAATGTCACGTCAGAGGAAGCAAATGATGAAGATTTGGACTATTTATCACAGAGTGAATTCACTGGACCTGCAGTTCCTTCGACTACAGATACTAGTAACTGTGAGAGCAGGTTCAAGAACGGTACTGGTGAAGACTTGAAAAAATTATGAAGAGATGATCCAATCAAAGTCCACCAAAAGAACTCAAAATGGGGACTAAAAATCTCCCAATGTAAATGTAATACTGTATTGATTGTTATTTAATTGCACGGTGAAAATTACAAATACAATGCCGACATCTTAATAATTTGCACCTGCAATAATATCGACACTTCACATTGCACTAAAATAATTTGTAGTCATTTCAGCGCACATTTTCATATTTAAAAAATTCTACAAGCTTTCATCATTAGGTGGAGGAAAACCTGAGTGACCTACGGTCAGTACCAAAGCCGTTTTCGTTTAACGGTTAAACCGGTCGGACCACAGCTGTTCGTTTATTAAATAAGGTCGTGCCTAGTTATCTGATGCTGCTTTATAGGTGGTTAGTGTGTTGTCGGTCAGTGAAACATATTGGTAATAGTGTAAAAGTTGAGAACAAGCCAAACCGTCATTTCACTGTATTGCTTTGAAGATAGATCACCATGGCAACGGCCTGCTCAACTTCCGTGCATCATCAACAGCTTTCTCTCTTCACAAAATCACGTGACCTTAAGTGAAGTACGTCGTAAGGCATTCACTCCTCGACAGCCATCTTGTGTTTTGTTTTCGCATCACACACCATGTGGGGGATTGTTATCTATTGTGTCAGCGTCCTTGGACTGACCTTTGTCCACTCGGTAGAGATCGTGAACGTAGTTGTGGACGATTACGCTAAAACAGGTGAGTGAGTTTTCGACACACTTTTAAAACAACCTAGCACTGTCTCTAGTTAAACTTGTGTAGATATTCTAGCTGTGTATGTGTGTGTTAATGGTATATTATTTGTATACAGTACTTTGTACGGGTTCTAATACCTGTTGTTTGGACATATTTCGAGTATAAATGTGTAGTTGTTAGTACCCCAGGAGTCTGACGTTTAATCAATATAGGGTATGATGCTCAGATTGCTTGGACAAATGTTTTACTAGTTCATGAAGGCTCTATAGTTTCACAGTAAATATCTGCCTGTACGTTTGACAGGAGACGGATCCCTGGTTTGTCAGAGGACGAAAACCTATCCTCGGAACATAAATCAAAACTTCAGGTCCCGCTCCTCTCTAATCTTTAATTTAGTTTACTCTTTTAAGCGTAGATTTATGCACGCCCACCAC